CTATGATCTGAAAGCAAGAAATAAAATTTGATGGAACTCCAAGAGATAATATATGCCACTTCACTATTAGATTTTCAAAAATTGTTTTCAAGTTTTATATGGTTACCATTTTAAAGGCCATGCTCAGCTCTGGTTCACTTATTCCAAAAGTAGATACAAGGTCACACAGCCGATTTGGGTAGGACAGACGCCTAAGCAGGATCATTAGGCACTCCATGCCAGAGAAAATTACTCCTTGGTCACTGGTATAGCTGTCAGGGATTTCTAAGGCCTCCATGAGGCGGTACATATCATTTTTTTGGAATCTGAAATGTCACAGACAAATACAGATGTATATGACAACTTCAACCTGAGATTCAGCAAAACTCTAAATAATAGAGTAATAATAATAATAAATACAGTATTAAAAAATATTAATAAATACAGTATTAAACAATAGATGTTTAAAATATGTTTAAATATATTTATGAAGCTGCTTCGATCTATATCCTTTGTTTGACTTGTTTTGTATATGGAAACTTAATAATAATTTGTCAGTAATGCAAATTTGTGCATGGGCATAAAATAGACCGATCTACATGTACCTAAACATCTGCCCGCAGTCAACCTCACTAACATCCTCTATATTCAAGCGAAGCCCCAGTGAACGTGGTTCAGGAAAGGCTGCTTCGAGAAATAGCACGTCAAGGTCTTCATCGCTTGAATCGCTGTCTGAACTACCCTCGCTCTCTAGTGCCATCACATCTAATATATCTTTATACTCTTGCCTAATTAAGTAGAGATAAGTACATGAGTCTTGCCCATTTCATTTTCTATTTAATCAAGTAGAGAAAAAATGATAACACAATTTATATAATTACCTTCTTGCAGCCGCCATCTTGTTTTGCTATTTTTGGCGGGTAATTGCCTTCCGGGAATCTTAAAGACCAAATTCGGGCGAACGGCTAACGTCAAACTGCAAACCGCAAACCGCGGTTTGTCGTTTGCGGTAAACAGAAAAAAACGTCAATCTTAAGGTCTCTATAAATTGGAACAAACCCCGACTTAGGGCCTGTTTACATGGAGGCGAATTACCCAGCAACGCGAGTTACTCGCCCAGGTGGGACAAACAAGCACTCTGTTTATATGGGACCGAGTTACTTGGCATTTGTCACATGATTGCCGCATGACGCCAAAATGGCACCAAAACAGAAAAAGGATTTAAATTGTTTGAAACGCTAAAAAACATTACAAAATATAGTGAAAGTACAAGAATAAGCACCAAGCAATTCAGGAAAACTTATCTATTGATTCGTATGTATTTTTGAGCTATTATATTTCAATGGCAAAGCACATACATTCTATCTTGGGTGCAGGCCGAGTTACCCGGGCAAAGTGTTTAGTACATGGAAAATATTCATCTGGCCTAGGCGAGATCCTGCCTCTTTCTGCCGGGAACTCGCCAAGGCGAGTTACTCGGCTGCATCATGTAAACAGTCACCCGCAATTACTATTAGTTTCTATAATAGCCGGGATCCCGCCGTTGCCGAGTAACTCGCCTTGCCGGGTAACTCGCCTCCATGTAAACAGGCCCTTAGTATTTTTATATAAACATTGTACAGTATTCAGTGGCAAGCTAGCCATGGCAACTGGCCAGCCTAGTCCCAGTCGTTCTGAAGCAAGCGCGAGAAAAAACGTGGATGTAGTACAAGACTGGGACCTAGGTGTGACGTCACCGCTAAAGGTTCTTCAGAACGCCTAGCAGATTTCAGTATTTTTAATATGGCGAAAAATTTATAGATACAAATAACCTTGTAAATAGTCTTCGTTGATCATGTTTGATGTCTACATAACCAAATTCAAACTGTACTAAAAATGTGCTCAATTAAAAAAAATATATACAATATATAAACGTTGATGTTATTTATATACTCGCAAGTTGTGATCAACACTAGACCATACTGGTATACACAACTACGCTTTCTACTTGACAAGTTTGAGTAGCTGAGGAGATTGGAAATATTTGCCTGACATGACTGTGTTGTCAAAACATTTTTAGTCGGAGACTCGGCATAATTTTCAAGCTTCTAGATAGCTTTTAATATGGCTTTATATTTTAGTAAACACGAGTCAGATTTAGTAGCCTTAGAAACGTAGCCTATTTTATTGTTCCGATAGCATTAGAGCAAAACTAATTACTTAATTATAAACGCAAAGGAAATTTCCATAACATTTTCTATTTATGAATGCGGCACGCTTGGTAACCAGGTCAGGGACCACTTTTTTGAAATCAGGGATCATTTTACCGAAATCTGCTAGACTCTCTCGCTGAAGCGTTCCGCACAGCACACCCATGCATTAAACTTTTAACACTTATTTAAATATGTCAAAGCAGCGAATAGAAAGAGAGAGCCTGGTACTAGGCTGGTAGCTGCAGTGATACAGACTGGCCAACTGGAACTTCTCAAGCCCCCCGCTAAATATGTCCCCTCCAGTTACACATCCTTAAAAGAGGCCCTGAATTTTAATTGCACTATTTGAATAGCTATTGAGTATTATAACACAGAATTATTTGGCAACAGAAAAATAGAACACTGGTATCTTTCGCATTTCTGAAAGGGTGGGTCATAATTTTCCAGCACCAATTTAAGGGTGGGCCACAAATTTTCGTGCAGCTATTAAGGGGTCTTATAGGCTTAAGAGTCTCTTCCTGTGATCCATCTCATATGACTCCACTCGTCAAATACCTTCTTAAAATTAGAAACAAGAATATTAGGAATGGCTCGCCAGATTATATTCTTCAAGAACGTATAAATGAACTTATCCGTACTAATCAACGTAATGCTGTTAATAATGAAAACCAGAAACAAAGCATGGGAACTAAAGCATGGTGGAATACGGTCAATCAAATTACTAGCCTGTGAGCAGGCTCTCTAGGGGAAAGAGAGTCTGCAAGGATCCCTATGATGATTGCGTGTCGCCCTTCAATTAGGATGTCACAGCTCAATTAATAACAACCAATCAGCGCAGACCGGAAATACACTTCAATATTGCAAACATAAACCGCGTGTACTCTTTCGTTAGTTTCGTATACAGACCGCCACTTGGGCATACTAAAAAAGTTAAAACGGCTCGAGCCGGTTTTACAGTGTAATATATCAAGTTGTACTTTTTATTACAGTCTGCACGTGTTTCTGTAGGCACAGTAAGTTTAAACTTGTATATTACCCACTAACTAATTCAGTTGTTTGGAATTGCTTCGTGCTGCAATATATAATATCTATCCCAAAAAAAATGCCCCCCGTCATATTTGTTGGTATTACTTCGCTATATTTAATCAAAGGTTCAATTTTTTTGCAGTGGGTTGAAAAACAATCATATTATATTAATCGTAGTATTTATCTCACCAAAAGACTTAACCGTTCCGCGGCTTCTAGAGATACTTAATTAAAGGTGGCGACACCAATTTTGCAACCCGTCCAAATTACAGAAATTAGGTTAAAAATAATTCAAAATTTGTAGAAGAATTTCTAAAGTTTCTACCCACCTTTCTGCTCAAAAACAAATTTTTTTTATCTCTATTTAATAATACTTTTGTTTCTTGTAGAAATTAATAAAAAAGATGAAAAATCCCTAGCAAATTGACAAAGGCAAAGCTAAGGTTGGGAAATGCCTTAAATTTGCTGTTTTCCGTTCAATTTGTTCCATGAAAGAGCAAATGTTGCGATTTCAGCACTAATCTTTCCCCTTTTCTGGGGATTGCTTCATTTTTACAGAAAATTAATTCGCGATTTTGGCTACAACTAATTACAAGTTTTAGAAAAGATATGTAGCCATTTACCATTAAAATATTTTATTACGTTCCGTAATATGTTTAAACCTAATATCCAGGGCCGTAGGTAGGATTATTTCCCGGGGGGGGGGGCAGACGGGCTATGGTGGCTTTAAATTCAGCATTCAGCCATAGGGGCTTTAAACGAACCTGGATAACTTATCGTTGAGATGCAAAAAATGTAAAGCTGGCTTGATGTTCAAAACACTCAAAGGTGACACACCTACCTATCTACAAAATCTTTTTTTAGTTCGTGGCTCAGAATATAAGCTTAGGAACTTTGAAATGAAATTAAATCTACCCAAGCCACGAACTAATTATCTGAAGCGAAGCTTTCAGTACAGTGGAGTAGTACTGTGGAATAGCCTTCCCGAAAATATAAGAATGCTCCAATCGTTTGCTCAGTTCCGGAAAGCTGTAAACAAGTATTATAATAGTTTAGATGAACTCCCACACGGCAATCTTGTAAACCAGTAGATCATATTCTTTTATTTATTTTTGCATGCTTAAACTTGTATATATATATATATATATATATATATATATATATATATATATATATATATATATATATATACTGAAGATTCCACCGTGGATAAATACATTTTATTGTATTGTATGGGCACTAATAACTATAATACCATATTTAGGTTTGTGATTGCTTAACTACAGTAACTAGAGGGTATACGTACGTTCATAAGCGCTATTTGGCTTTCCGCGCATACACATCTTCTGGCGTTGGGATACACAGGCTGTCTCGATGAATCATGAGTATTGCCAGTCCACTTAATCACTGGATAAAATGTAGCATCACATTTCGCTGCTGCGTCGCATGCAGTTTTAGGCTTCTGCTTGAGAGGAACATCGGCGAATTTTCGTTTCCACCTGACAATTTCTGAATCAAGGCTGTTTTCTTCGCAGAAAGTAAGGTACTTTCCAAAGAACTCTTTCAAATCTTTCTTATTTGAATCGGTTATCCAAATATATTGGCACAAGAGATATCTTGCGTTAAATATATCGGCGGCCGGCCGATATATTTGACGCTGCATGGTTGGTAGTCTGGTACCCAGTTACCTCGTATAATCGTATATGAAAAACAATTTATAGTGAAAGAGTACAATTAAAATCTAAATCGCTTAAATTTTAAGCCTTAAAAATATGAATAAAATAAATAAAATAAAATAAAATTATTTACACCACATTATACATCGCATACCTAACATGTTCTTTAATTTCAAATGTTTGAACTAGCCAAAGAAATTTTTTTATTATTTATAGTTATTTGAAAATTGCAAGTTTAGTTTTCTCTGGGGGGGGGGCAACTGCCCCTGCTGCCCCCCCTGTCTACGGCCCTGCTAATATCCACAATTTTGGACAAATGGCAATATTGGTGTTGCCACCTTAAGTAACTCTAGAAGGCGAACGGTTAAATATTTTGATGCGAAAAAATGCAACGATTAACGTAATATGTTCATTGATAAAAAAATTTAAAAATTTGAATATTCGATTACAGGTAACGATGTAGTACCACAAAATATGATAGGGGACTTTTTTTGGGACACCCTGTATAGTAATAATATAACTTACTGAAATTTATGGCTTTGGTGAGACATATACATATATGATATACCATGGACATTGGACATAATTTAATAATATGTTTATAGTTCAAATTTTGCAACAAAAAGTGGAATTAAACATGCACGTGATAATTATTAGAGAGGTTAAGATACCCCGGTTTCGGTGTACGTGTACGGGTAGCATGATTTTGGTTAGCAATATTTTCGTCGATGTCTGTACATTTACTCGTAATTAAGCCTGATTTACACTAGGCGGAATTTTGCGCGCGGAGCGACATTTTCCGCAGCCACAAAGTTGAAAGCAGTTCAACTTTTTCAGTTTCCGCGCGGAAAATGTCGCTCCGCGCGCAAAATTCCGCCTAGTGGAAATCAGCCTTTAAGGTGCACATTTTTCGCATTATATCATTGTCTATTGCAAGAAAACAGAAAAAGTATGATCGAATTACAGACATCAGTAAAACAAGACGACACTACTCGTACCCGTACACCGAAACCGGGGTATCTTAACCTCTCTATTGTAAACAAAGTGACGAGTAAATTACTGTACATTTTAACGCCGCATAATTAATATAAATCTTAAATAGTAACATTGTAAAACAAGCTTAATACACACAATATGCACTGAATATTATCAGAATAATTCTCAATATTGTTTCATAAGAGAGAAGCGATATAATGGCTAATGCCTTGTCCCTAGGTTTCGGTTTGCGAATTTTTTCAGTCTTTCTCAAGAATTATTCTTAGCCTAGGAGTCAGACAAGCCCAGGACACAATAAAGCATGCAAGCTTTTAGTATTCATCTTTATATGAATACTATATTAATTTACAGTAAAAAGTCAACAAGGATACAAAATACATGACACTTTTATCTCTACATTGCCGCAATTCCGAAGCTTTGCGTTGCTCGGTTTTACAAACGGGAAGTGTGGTTTATGGAAGCTTGTCAATCACTTCATTTGAATCAGTTATCAACCAATCAGAGCTCTGCGTCCAAATATTGGACGCATGCACGTAAACGTTATAGGGATCCTTGCATGCTCTCTTTCCCCTAGAGAGCCTGCTCGCAGGCTATCAAATTACTGGCAAGAGCTATCATGCCTCAGTAGGTTCTATCCTGATACGTTAAATCTATATTTCCAAGACACAAATTTAGACCAGCAATATTCAATGCCAGAGTTGATACCTATCCCTGAGGACATGATAGTTCCAACTATAGATGAAGAAACTGTTTCAAAATTTTTCTTAAAGCAAAAACAGTGGCCCCTGGCCCTGATAAATTTCCTCATTGGTTCTGGAGAGACTTTGCTTGTTACATTGCACCTGTTATAACCAAAGTGTTTAACTGTTCATTGAAGAATCAAGTGGTACCCATCTCATGGAAATTAGCTGATTTGACGCCTATTCCAAAACAGTTACCGGTTACAACTATACGACCTATTTCGATTACTGATATCATCATGCGACTCTTTGAAAAGATTGTTTATAAGAGCGAATTAGCAAGCATTTGAATCTATAATTTGCGTATTTGCGCATAAGAAAAATCATAATTCTTTCATGGCTCTTGTTAAATGCTACCATAAATGGACACAACGGCTTGATAAAGATGCAGACTTTGTTCGCGTTTTCTCATTTAATTTTAGCAAAGCATTTGACTGAGTACCTCACAATATTCTATGTAATAAGTTGAAATCACTTAGTCTTAATCCATATATTGTCAACTGGACTATAAATTTTCTAAGCAGTAGACAACAAAGAGTGATTGTGGATGGTGTTACTACAATTTTTGCCAATTAACCAAGGCGTGCCACAGGGAACAGTCTTGTATCTATCTTGTTTTCCCTTTATATGATCAATGACTTAAAAGCAGTTCATCCAGAAAGAAATATTTTAATAAAATTTACTGACTTTTCATGTATAGTAACTTTTCTAAAACGTGGGGAATGGTTGTAAAAGGCAAGATACCTTGTGCTCTCGATGACTGTATATCAGGAATTGAACGTAAGGATTCGCTTAAATTGTTGGGGTTATTCCCGAGCCAACGGCGCGGAGCGCCGTTCCGGGCGTTAGCCCGGGGCGAGGGTACTAATTCCGCCCGGCTATTTACACCTGGGGGAAAGGAACGCATTAGGGAAGTCTAAAGTTCATCAATGATCGCGGGCGCGTGACTATATGGTTCATGGGTGGACCTCCTCACTGATCTCAAGAATGTGGCTGCTTGCCAGGAGTGGGATAAGCACACTGAGGATATTTAAAAGCAAGATTTCAATTTTCAGAAGCATATATTCGGAAAATCACGTTTCACACAATAGGGCCATCTATACGGGACAAAATAAGTCTCGACCTACATAAGACGCGACTTAAATAAGACGCGAGTTTGTCGTATAAAAGGTACAAAATTCTCAGGTAAGTCGCATCTTGGATAAGACGCGACTTAAATAAGAACAGGATTTTTAGCTGTTCTTATTTAAGTCGCGTCTTAAATAAGACATTTTGGATAAAAAGTCTAACTGCACATGCCCGAAACTTGAAACAACGTAAAATTATTAGCCGTGCATATTAAGACAAAAACAACCAAAACAACATTATAGCTTTTGCAAGTAAATAAGACTAGAGCCGTAAAGAACCATTTATACGATAACTCCGCTTATATAAGACGCGTCTTATGTATAGTCTAGGACCTGTATATGAGTTTGTATGCAAATTCGGCGCCATTTTGTCATCCCGTTTCGGTTGTAAACAATTCGGCCTTATTATTCTTCCATCCAAGCCCTTTCCATCAACGAATAACAAATTTAACCCTTCGTTAAGGGTATTAAAATAAAAATACAAATGAAATACGCGAAATGCAGCATTTTATCACCCTGTAAAATGTTGCTTACGGGTCCTTCAAAACATTTCGTACAAATCTCGCGTGATTTAGTAACAGGGGGGGGGGGGGGGGG